CATAGGGGGCTCCACCGAAGGCCCCACAGGCAGGGTTCGCATGGCGGCCCCGCGCCAGTTTGGTGCACCCCTCACACGGCTCGTGGCCCCATATGGAGCTCCACCGAAGGCCCCCGTGGCAGGGTTCGCATGGCGGCCCCGCGCCATTTTGGCGCACCCCTCACACGGTTCGTAGCCCCATAAGGAGCTCCACCGAAGGCCCCAGTGGCAGGGTTCGCATGGCGGCCCCGCGCCAGTTTGGCGCACCCCTCACACGGTTCGTGGCCCCATAGGGAGCTCCACCGAAGGCCCCAGTGGCAGGGTTCGCATGGCGGCCCCGCGCCATTTGGGCGCACCCCTCGCACGGTTTGTAGCCCCATAGGGGGCTCCACCGAAGGCCCCAGAGGCAGGGTTCGCATGGCGGACCCGCGCCAGTTTGGTGCACCCCTCACACGGTTCGTGGCCCCAGAAGGGGTTCCACCGAAAGCCTCAGTGGCAGGGTTCGCATGGCGGCCCCGCACCAGTTTGGCGCACCCCTCACACGGTTCGTGGCCCCATAGGGAGCTCCACCGAGGGCCCCAGTGGCATCGTTCGCATGGCGGCCCCGCGCCAGTTTGGTGCACTCCTCACACGGTTCGTGGCCCCATAGGGAGCTCCACCGAAGGCCCCAGTGGCAGGGTTCGCATGGCGGCCCCGCACCATTATGGCGCACCCCTCACGCGGTTCGTGGCCCCATGGGGAGCTCCACCGAAGGCCCCAGTGGCAGGGTTCGCATGGCGGCCCCGCGCCAGTCTGGTGCACCCCTCACACGGTTCGTGGCCCCATGGGGAATTCCCCTTGCTTCGTCCCACCTGCCCTGCGGTTTTCACACTTGCGTATGGTTGGGTCCTCCGCCTGGATAATTAATCCAGCGGGTTGTAGGTCAAAAAGTCCCACACGCGAGCCAGAAGGCCAACAGCACGCTATCTTCGCACGCGCCGATAACCCGGAAAAAAGTTTAGGAACCCGGGCCCTCCGAGTTCCGGCCCGCACGTTGTCGTGTCGAGATACTGTCGGAGCACCTGTATAACGCGCACTGGGAGTCCTGAGGGTTTGAGAGGTGCGCGTGCTCAAAGCTGTGTACATGCGTGTGGTGCGTCACGTAGGCGATCGCATGAACTTTGATGGCGCGGCAGGTGTTGACATCCATGCCCGGGAGCATGCCAACATGGTGTTGTTAAGTTGTTACGACTGGCAGAAGAGGCTTCTGTACTTTGCTCGTTTTCTCCGCTCAGATGGTCGTACGTTGTCAGTGTTGTTGTCTCAAGGGTGTGACCGAGGGAGCGGCTCTCGTCAAGTGATGCCTTGGGTCAAGCAGGTGTCGGAAGAATTGTCGTCCTGCTACAATTTTCCAGTGCTGCGCGAGATTGCCTGCCTGCTCCCGCAGTGGATTCGAACCCATGGCGCTGCCTCAAGGTTGGCAATGGTCAGCAGCGGATAGACATTATTCATGACATTCGTTTCCTGGAGTATCTTTGTGAGTCGTCGCGAGGTACCACTGGCAGTGGTGAGGTTGCTTCCTTCTCGTGCGTGCAGTGCTCACTTTGTTTTGCTACGCACTAAGCCATGTTGACGCACGCTCGGGCCAAGCATGGCGGGCACACTGAACGGCGGCTCTATGCCGACGACGATGAGGTACGCAAAGCGTGCCGCACACATTTCACAACCAAACATCATCTCATCTCGCACTGGTTGAACCCTCATCGAACCGTTTGCTGACTGTGGGTCGTTGCTAACACCGCATCCATGGATACCGACAAGGTAGCGCAACTAGACGCCGCCGACACACTCGCATACAGAACCGCGAGAGAGCATGGCCACACGCAACAGACATCTGGGGGCCCTGTCAAGCAGGCCTCAAGCGGCGCTTCAATTTACACATTTTCTTCCATATATGCGCCCTCGGGAGAGCTTGCGCCAATAACCATGGTCGAGCGAGAGACGCGCGCGGGCCAGCCCAAATCACGCGGCATGGAGATACAACATTCACACATGCACTCATGTATACACCAGCGGCCCAGGGCAAGGGAGCGACCCGCCGGAGGAGTCCGAGAGGAGCACGGGAGTAGTTATACGGGGGAAGGAGTGCAACACACAATCCCAAAACTTACCCGGCGTCAGGCGCACCACACAGTCGTCCAAACCTCCCATCCTCCTCCAGGTGAAGCTGTCTCCTCCACTTCCACAATCCGACATCGTCCTCGTGCTCCAAAGTTGACTTCCTCTGCCGCCCCTCCTGCATTCTCAAAATTGCGAGCGCGCATTCAGAAAATAGCGGATCCGACTACGGCGATGGATATAGAGTGAGCGATCGACGGGACCAACACCGGCAACACGCCCAAGGGCACCATTGCGAGTGACGCTGCCGCCCCCCAATCCTTGGCTTCATATCTTTTCATGTGATGGCGAACAACTGGAACAACGACAGCGGGTTCACTGTGGCAGGTGCCGCGCGACGGGTGCCGCGCGCCTGTACGCACTGTCGTGCCAGCCAGCTGCGATCCTATCGTTCAACGTGGTGTGGCACGCATGATAACGCACCCTTTCGATCTGATGCGCTACAACATCCATGACCTTTCGACGCGCAGTCCACACGATGGGATGTAATGTTCATGTTGTCTCGAAGCGCCAGCAAGTGGACCACTTCTGGCATACCCGTACTAGTGGTTCGTGAACTCCACTGCTCGCGCAGTCGTCCTACCCTCCCACCCGCAACTTGTTTTGCACAACCCATGCGGCCGCGATTGCGCTAACTCCTTGGTGCTGGCTGACGCATCAATGCGGCTGCGCTAGCGCGTGCAAGCTCGCGCGCAGAACGACCAGACAGGTTGGCACAACCGATGCGGCCGCGATGGCGCTTACCGATGGCAACTCCCCGACGCGTCTCAAAGAACGCACTGGCGCGCGGGCTCTTCAATGTGGGCAGGTATCGGGCGGGCGCGCTATGATAACGATAACCTCGGCAAAGCCAATGACGGCGCCAATGCTGGTGACAACGATGATGGCGGCAATGGCGACGATTATCGATGACTTTGACGTGACCTGGCAGCACTGATGAGGGTGATGGTGAGGAACTGCTCGCGCGGCCATGGAAGTTCGGTTGAAAAACATGTGGTTTTCCATATGCGTTTGAAGAGCCTTATCTTGCAATGGTTGGAAAACCTATGGTTGTGGAAAGAGTTCGACACGCGCGCGAGTGGCGGCTCGCGCGTGGGGCCCGCATGGTACTATTTGATACGGATTCGATCACTGGGCGCATGTTAGATCAACGCGGGTGCACCGCGTGGTGAGACGAGAATGCGAGTTCTGGACGAAGTTGCTGACATCATCTTTCTGCCTCACGATTCAAGCACATGCGCGCAGGCGGCACAGTTGCAAGATTCGTAATGGAAAGCCTGAGGCCTGTGGTTTCTGTATTCTGGAATGGCTGCAGAACAGATCTGATTGATGTGATTTCGACGTGTGCGCGCGCGTGTGGACTTTAGACAGTTGTTTGCGAAAGATTATTGAGACATGACCTTTGGCGATACACGAACTTTCGCACATGGTATCATTCGACAGGGACGGGGGGGGGGTCGATACCGGCCGCCCTGGGATGGCATGAACTCATGTGGGGAATGAGAGGCAAGGTGGAATCATGTAATTTGCAGGTTCTCCCGGGGGGGCCAAAATGTCCACGGGTAACAGGGTGCCACAATAGATGGACAATATATTCGAACCTTTTCACATTCGAGAAAAATTCTAAATCACCCCCGCGCCCCCGACATCAATGTTGATCTCAGTAAAGGCGGTGCTTTGGGGCTCGAATACTTCTGTCCGCTCACGCCCCCCCCACCGCCACGCCATCAATATTAATTTCGGGGGGTCTGGGGGGCATCTTGGGCAACAAGGTTCGAATATATAATGTCCGAGTACGCTAGAGCCGACTCTTCCCTTGCCCGGAGAACCCACGAGCGAGCAACAGGCGAAGCCCTGGCACACCCCACCGGCGCACGGAGCGTGCACGAGGCGGGCACGGGCAGCCGCCGGGCGAGAGCCTGGAACGCCGACTCCATCACCTGACGGACCTGTGAGAGACCCCTAAAAGTAGGGAGTCGAACTCTGTACACCGACGCTTCTTTCGGGGATGGACAGACCTCCCTTTAGGAAGACGTGGCTTAGTGAAAACGACCTGGGGCCCAACCCTGGCGGGCGCAAGCCTGGAAAATAACGGCCACGGCGCCCTCTCGAGAACCAAAAACGGACAATCCACTAATCGACGTGTCACTGTTGGGGGTTCTGTCCACCCCCGACCGGCGAGAACCTGGAACACCGACTCCATTACCTGACAGACCTGTGAGAGACCCCTATAAGTCGGGAGTCGAACTCTGTACACCGACGCTTCTTCCGGCCCTGCATTGGAATTTGCACCTGCGAGCGGATCCTGGTGTCTACGGGACCCTGGTGTATACATTTTTAGTTATTTCCCCGGGGCAGCGGGGAAAGACGTATGCACCACACCACCCCAGCGTCGTCCTTGACCTTCAAGAAATCCTGGGATTGAAAAGCAGCCCGCCACTGGTAATGTATATGTTCCAGTTTCCGACCTAAGTGCAGGCACCTGCTCAGGAACCAGGAACACATCTTGATTTACACGTGTCGCTGCGCCCCTCGTTCTCGACGCGCCCAGGTGGACGACGCCGACACCACGGCAAACCCACGGCAAGCCCAGCGCCCCGTACCCAAACCAGACGACACGGGCATCGCGGCAAACCCAAGGCGAGCCAACCGCGCCCGAAGCGGCGCTCGCCCTGGTGCCCGCGTCGCCCTCCCCGAGACGTGAGGCCGCACGTCGGATCAAACCACGCGGCTACGTATCGCAAGATGTGACGAAGCGGCGCTCTCGCTTGAGCACGACGGACCCGTGTGCGACACCGCAGACAGACGAAGCACAGATGCCGCCGCACGGAGAGGATGTCCAGGCGCAGCGGCCCGCCCGGCCCTCAGTGCCCCTGCGACAGAACGGTAGGGACAGCCACCATGGCAGTGGCGAAAGAGAAGAGCAGGATGGCACGGATGGGCCGTGAGAAGAGCCAAGAGAAGGCAAGAGTACCGCTCCACCAAAAACAACCGCAGAAGAAGGCACCCACGAACGCAACTGCATTCCCGAAATACTGGACCCACGTGCCGATCCAAGGCACGATGCGAAAAAGTGTTGGGACGAACTGGAACTGCAAGAGGAACCCGATGAAGAACATGAAGTACCCGAGCGTCAAGAGCCCGAGGTGAATGCACTTCTGCTTGCCCTCGGCTCGCCCCATCATCTCACCGGCGCTGAGGTGGGCTTCGGCCAGCTCGTTGAGCTCCTCACCGCTCTGGATGCAATTCCCAATGCAACAGCAAGGGTTCGTTGGCAAGCTGTCCTTTCCGTGCTCGAGCAGCGGCTGGCTGAGATCCACCTTGGCTGGAGGCGGCGACCACGGCCAGGAGCAACGCTTCGGGATCATCGCGTAGCTCAGCTCCGTGAAGGAGTTATCGTGCTGCAGCGCCAGTACTGTGGCGTTGCCACATTCGACCTGCTGGAAGGTGACTCGCATGTCACCCAGTTGGGGTTGGCCTTCCAAGTTCGTCATGTAAACACCGCTGCTCCCCTGCTGCCTGAAGCTTCGGCCTGCCGCAAAGCAACTGGGCGGCAGTTCGTTCGCCGCCCGCCAATCCACCATCTGCGAAATGAGCTTCTTCGTCAGACTGAAAGCGCCAAGCGACACCCTCATCGCCACCAGCTCTCTGTCCCCGATCGGGAAAGGTGGGTTCTGGTTCTGGTAATATGAATCGTGAAACGTCGAGCTGTCGTTGTGGGTTCCCACCCACCGCATGTCATATGAATACGTTGTGACCTTGTCCTTGCCACCGCCTGGAGTATCTCTCTCCTCCGTCGTCGAGGACTCGACCCACTGGTACATTTCAACAGCCCGCTTGATCTTGGCGCAATTGGTGAAACGAAAATTGAAATCTGCGTCGCAAAGCAGCTCATCCGTAGCCGTAAGTCCTTGCACGCTCACGAGGCAGCCTTCGTTGCTGTAGTCCACCTTCTCGGACCCCACCTCCTTGAGGATCCTGCGCGCGTACCCGAATACCTGCTCCATGTGGACCTCGCGCCTCTCGTTGAACCAGATAACTGGGAATGCCAGAAGCACCAAGATCACCCCGACGACGGCGGCCCCCGCCGCGTTCTTGACCTGCTGCCCGTAAGTCTCGCTCGGAGGAGGACCAGCTGCGACAACAACGGCCCTTCCACCCGGCTGAGATCCGCCCACAATGAGCGGCGAACGCTTCCACATCCGCGCCCTCGCAGTCTGGACTCCGGGGCGCGAGCCCGCGGATACGAGGTCGCCTCCGGGTGCGTCCCGCGCGGGGCATCCGCGGAAAGACGCCCCGCATCTGCGAGGCCGCAGCCCAGGCGCCGGACCCGCGAGGCCGCGGATGCAGATACGGTGAGGGCATCGGGTAAGGAGCCCCTGGGCCCAGGAATCCAGGGTCTGAAAGACGGTGCAACGCCAATCGCGGCTTGGCCATGGGTAGCACCGCCGCCCCCCTCAGGTCAGGAATCCTCCAGGGCCTGAGGGCCCCTGGGCACCTTCCTTCACGCACGCCACCACCGCACCTCTTCGCCCGCCCAAAAGACCCCTCCCGGGGGGGGCCCATCCCGACCCGCAGGACGAGCGGATGCCGCCGCGGCGACGAGGGCACGGCGCAGGAGAGCGAGCACCACGAGGGGCTCCGATCGGCAGGGCCGCCGAGGCGTCGTCGGCACCCGGCCCTCCTCCGCGCTCGTGCGCGACGACCACGTGGCTGCCCCCGTGCGGGCCGACGGCGTGGCTGCCGCCCCGGTGGTAGTACAGCTGCTCCGGCGCCGCGGGCCCCGCGGAGGCGGCGGCGCCCCCGCGGAGGCCGCCCTCGCCGCCGCCGGCCTGCTCGGAGGCGGCGAGGCCCGCGGCCACCAGGAGGAGCAGGGGCGCGCGCGCCGGCACCATGTGGTCTCGCCGGCCCGCGGGCCCTGCGTGCCGAGACAGGGAGCCTGCCTTTCTTCAGCTTCGGGCAAGCTGGCTTGCATGGCGTTCGCCCCCCCCCCCCCCCCCTCCTCCTCCCCCCTCCTCTCTCGCCCCTCTTCGATCGAATACATACGAGCGTGCAGGTGCCTTTCGGCTTGCGTGCCTTTCGCACGTCAGGTCATTTGCGGCCTGCTTCAGGTTCAGGCCCTCCACCCCGTCCACGCAAGTGAACTTACCAGAGTCCACAACGAACAGCAGGCTCGAGCAGGGCCCGAGCGACTCCGAGTGAGATGCCGGCCCGGAGACGTGCAGGGATGACTCGAGGTGCTGGATGCCGCGACTCTCCAGGCCTCTCCAGGGGGCGCCCTCTATGGCCTAGATTCCAAGGGAGCGGGTCAAAGCCGTGGCGACGAGGGGCGGGCAGCCGCATCGGTACCGCTTGTCCTCCTCTGGTTTCACAGCGCCCAGCGCCGCCCCCCCCGCCCCCCCCGAAAGCAGCGCGCCAGAAGTCACTCTGGCGAAGGGTTATGGGTTATGGGACGCACAGAGACATGCTAATACTATATGTCCTCCTTGGAGGCGCGCGTCCGACCCGAACATCTAGTATACCCATCTTGTGGGTGTGGCCAGAAAGCGCCCGCCACGACGCACATACTAGGAGATTTCTCGGTGCGCGCGTCGCCCCTGGGGGGGGGGGGGGCGACGCACACATAGTATTAGCATGTTGGGGTGACGCCGAGGTCACTCTCACGTGTATCGGGTGCGACGAGGAGGGTGGCCAGGAACAGGGGGGCTAGCTCATCATGGCCAGGGGCACGCGCGCGGACGAGGGGGCGGGCCAAAGAGCGTGCTGAAAGAAGAAGAATAAGAAAAGAATAAGAAAAAGAAGAAGAAGACAAAGAAGAGGGGGCCATGGAACCCGGAAGATATCATGGCCTCGGCCATCCAGTCCTCACCTCACCGCCCTCTTCGCCGCCCCCCTGGCGTGACTGAAACAGGCCCTGATGGAAGCGGGCCCTGAACATCTGGGGCCTTCCCCCACGACCAGTTTGTCGTCCTTGGTCGATTTCTGTGACCCAGGGGCCCGCGAAGGTCCTTGGAAGCGAGAAAAAAAAAAAAAAAAAAAAAAAAAAAAAAAAAAAAAAAACCTGCGGACCAGGATCTGAGGAGCACGGGCAGTACCAATGGCACGCCGCCGTGGTGAACCATCAGCGTGCGAGTGTTGGCGAGAAACGCAAGGTCGTCGGCCAGGAACGAAGGAGCAACACGGTGACGGGCTCCCAACGGCAGCGCGTCATTGTAACTCTCCTGTTCTCTCCCGCATTTCCCTGCAAAGCCCGCGTCCCTCATTCTGGACGCCCCAAAAATGGGTACGGACCAGAACGTGGGTACGATCCCCAACAACAACAAGTCTTGCCCCAAACCAACAGCGGCCGCTGCTGGGCAAAGGCGGCCTCCTGTCTCAAACGGACAACCTCCGCGGGGACACCGACAGCGAGCCCTGCTCAAAAGAGCCAGGAACAGCTGTCGGTCTTCGTGCCCCCTCCTTCCGCACCCATGATTAAGTCGGGCATCTCCCCCTACAGGCAAACTTTCGGCACGAAAAAAAGATTCAAACATATGTTTCGAGAACAAATCTTAAAACATCGTCCCCAGACTATTTTTTCTAGTATGTGTGAAGATTCCCCCTGTAGAGGGACACGCCCGACATCTTAAGCCCATGAAGCCGATTGCTTTTACGGTCCCCCGACCATCCAACTTCCCGCCCCCCCTCCCGATAACCTGACGCTCTCGGCTGCGCAGGTCCCCAGGGGCTACGCAATACTGGCGCGCGCGGGGGCACCCGCCCACGCCCCCAACCCCCCACCGGCGGCCGGGGGACACCGGCCGGCACCTCCCTGCCATCCCCCACAGGGTATGACCCGAGCTACATCGCCGAAAGATGAACAGCGATCCTCGTGCCGACCGCACCGATTCTTGGCGCGAGCCCCGGAGGGTGCCGCCCGTTCCAGCGCCGGCACCGGCCCCGGCCAGGCCCTGCAGAGGTTCGATCGATCAGTGCAGGCGCCCCATCCCGACGGCCTGCCGCAGGGGCAGTGGGGGGGCGGGGGCCAGCGTTGACCCCGACCTAACCAGCCTCAGGCCAAGGGGCAAAGGGGGCAAGCGCTGTCCCCGACCTAACCGGCCTCGAACTAGCCTATCCCTAAGATTGACAAGCCCAGAACCGATGCCAATCTTAGGGATGCGCCCTCAAAAGCTGAGGGGATCCTTACGTTCAGCATCGAAATAAGCCGATACCAATCGTAAGGACAGCGACGTGCGCTTCCGACTGGTGAAACGACCGTCTGTGGGCCCCAGGGCCAGCCCCGCCGGGCAGGGCAGGGGCTATGCAACGTCGGATCGGAAGCCATAGTGCTGAGATAGCTGTAATTGTTTCTGGCGGCGGTCGTTACCCAGGAGAGGAGGGGGGAATGGTCCACGGCGAACGAGGGGTGGCGAATGAGAAGGATAAGGCCTTCTCGGAAGCCCACGGGACTTCTCAGAAGCCCTTGCCGCGCCTTCTGAGAAGTTTTCTGTGTCTTCGGGGAAGGCTTAGGAAACTTTTCAGAAGGCCGGGGGACTTCCGAGCCTTCTGAGAAGGCCCGCCTCTTCCCACTTCCTCTCCAGGCCCAACGCCGAAATGGAGCCGTGGGTAATGGTGGCGCTTGGGGGGTCGGAATAACCAAGTTGTTGAATCGCTTCGCTCATTCCGCTGGCCCATATCGCCTCGCCGATTGGGGGCCGTGTTGGGTCCTCTTGGGGGCCTCTGGGAGGCAATTCTGAGGTCTCCCCGGGGCCGTGCTGGGGCCGTGTTGGGGCCTCTCGGGGGCCTCTTGGGGTGCCTCTGGTGGGCTCCTCGGGGCCCGCCGCCGAACTGGAGCCTTGGGCAACGGTGGCGCCTCGGGGGGTATTGAAAGACCGAAGTCGCCGCTTGGCCCCGCACCGGTCGCGGGCCGGCCCCCCGCGGCCGGCCGCGGGGGGGGCGCCCTCGCTCGGCAGGCCGGCCGCGCGCTGGCCGACCTGCTCTTCCGCCTCTCGCTTGCACGCCGCCTGGGGCGGCGCCGCGCCGTGCCTCTTTTTTTGCCGGGTGCCGGGGCAGGTCGGGGCACTTCGGGCTCTCCCTCGACGGTCTTACTGTCACTTGTCTGCCCTCTGGGCTCTCACCCCGTCGCCTCGTGGGCGCATCGTGGGCGCCCACGGGGCGACGGGGTCTTGCCGAGATTGCGCCACGCTGCCACCCGTGCCGCCTCGTGGGGGCCCCCTTCGCTCGGGGTGTGCATGCCGCGGGGGTTCGCAGCGATCGCCAGCATGCGCGCGCGCGAGCACCACCATGTGCGGAGTGGGCCCCCCCCCTTACGTACGGTCGTTACCATTGCCCGGGGCTCGGTGGGTGGGTGGCCCAAGTAATGGCTGCTACGCGCCAGAGGATAATCTTGCTCAGGTCCAGGGACAGGGAAAGCAGCAAAAGCATTAACTGTCGGAGATGCGCGCGGATATCGGAGCGCGCCACGAGCGGCGCCAGAGGCGCCGCCAGGGGTTCCAAGCGCCGATCCAACAAAATCAAGGTGGATCTCCGATAATTTATCTTCATGCTGGTTTGTCTTCGTCGAGGATCGGAGCGTACGCTGAATCAGGCAGCGTATGGGCACGCTGCCAAACACGAGTCGGACCGGTTGCGCCGGAAATGCACTAGTATACTGCGCGCTGTGCAACCGGGCTGCACGGGATCTCCGAACAGAAGCCGAGATCGAATCGGATCGAGGCCCCCGAACTCGAAATCGCATCGGATCGATCACATCGGAATGGGCCCTGCTGGGATAGGAGCAGGGGGTGACCAACTTGCGCCCCACGATGCCGTTCACAACAGCTCACGGGTGCATGTGGGAATGCGGCCGTGGCCCGAGGCGGCTTTGAGCCATGCAGCAAGAGCGGCCAGAGGAGGAGGAGGAGGAGGAGGAGGAGGAGGAGGAGGAGGAGGCCGTCCAGCGTGTCAAGGAGGGCTGTTTCCTCCCCATCCTTCTCTCTCGATATATGTGTATATACAGATAGATATA